TGCAACCAGTGAAAGCCATGCCATTTAGTACTGAGGGACCAGTCGCTTTAGCAGCGACTGAGGACCCGGCTAGAACCACTATCGTCCAGAATAGTTCCAATCTGGATGCTGAGAATAGTGGCAAATGGATTACGCGGAAACGCAAAAGAGACGGAAAAACACCCAAAGATAGCGCGCGTATAGTCGGTAAGTCATCGTTGGACTCACGTCCTAAGCATCAGGCAACTCCGCTCAAGTCCAAATGTAAAGAAATAATTAATACTGTTGTGGATGGAAATAGTCTAACTTCACCAAATGTTGTTGGGAGTAACTCGCTTGACCCACATGACACTGTCATAAAGAAAGCTAATAGCAAGAAGCCGGTAGCTAACCGGCAGGATCTGTCATCACGGTCAAAGGCCGTGAACACGACGTTTAAGGCAGTTAAACAGGTGCCTAGTATAATCATCTGGAACTTGGCAGAATCGAAAGACACTGATCCCGCTAAGAGACATGCCCACGACCTGCAGTTAGTGGGATCTCTCATCAGAAATATACTGCCAGAGGAGGTCTTAGGGGTACATATCTCGAAAGTCACCAGACTTGGTAAGTATGTTGGAGGCGAAACCCAACAGAGAAGGATCCTCAAATTAGTACTCGGTAATTTTGAGGAACGGGACGTATTACTAAATAACTCACGCAAAACTCGTGACTCAAACATTCGTATTCGACCTGACTGGCCACTTGAGGATCGGATCAAGTGGAAGAATGCCCTAACAGAGTTAAAAACTCGAAGGCTAAACGGTGAAGCGAACCTTATGATTAAGGGTTTTCGGGTAGTCAGGTCTTGGAAGCCAATGCTTCCGAGACCTGTGTGGGTAGAACGCATGTCTCCAAAAACACCCTAAATGTGTGTTATACGAATGCTCGTAGTCTTCGGAATAAGATGTCTGAACTAAGTTTGATGGTAGACGACTTAAATCCGGATATAATTGTTATCACCGAAACTTGGCTCACTGTAGATATAGACTGTTCTCCAGTCATTTCAGGCTACATCTGTGTCAGAAGTGATAGAGTTAGAAGTCGCAAGGGAGGAGGCATAATATTATATATTAGGGACCACTTCCGCATTAACTCGATCATATCGGAGGCGCATGTAAGTGGTACGTGTGAGGTAGTATGTTGTACAATTAGGTCTAGAAACGGGTTAGTGACGATAGGAGGAATTTATCGTAGTCCGTGCTGTCTCTCTGACGACTTTATCCTAAAACACGTCTGTTCTTGGAGTAAAGCAGAATGTTGTCTCATCGTTGGAGATTTCAATGCACCCCATATAAACTGGATAGAGCTCACAGCTCCGGGTGGGGGTTTCGATAGCGTCCTTCTGTCATCAATTATTCAATGTGCACTTGTACAATGTATCGTTAAGCCAACACATATAGACTTGGAACATAATCCGTCATTGATAGACCTTGTCCTCACACACCACTGTGAAGATATCGTTGACATTCAACATCTTCCCCCACTGGTGAATAGTGGCCATGTCGTACTTTCCTTTAAGTTCCGGATACATGGTATAGAATTTGCATCAGCTCCACCCCGTCCTAATATCTGGAGAGCTAATATTCCGGCAATCAGGGACTATGCTATCTCAATTGACTGGTCGGTCGATGCTGATGGATCGATTGATGATGCATGGAATAGGTTTAAGTCTACGTTCGAATCCGTAACTCAACCGTTTATCCCATGGTCAGCACGTAAGTTATCATATTGCCCTCCATGGATTAATAAGGAAACCCGGAAGCTGTTGAAGCGTAGGAAACACTTCTGGGACTTATTCTTGTCAACAGGTCAGGCATCATTTAAGTGCGAATATAAAAAAATCCGGAATATATTTAAAAAGATCATAGCTAAATCCCGCACGGCTTACGAACGACAGTTGGCATACGATAGCCGTACCTGTCCGAAGCGACTGTTTTCGTACGTTAAAAGGCGGACGAAACGTAGTGATGGTATCCCCTCATTACTGTTAAGCGAAAGTTCAGCTTTATTGGCTGAATCTGATCTGGCGAAAGCGGAGTTATTTGCTAACTATTTCAGTGAAGTCTACTCTACGTGTAGTGTTACAACTACTTGTCCCGTTGACAATGAGATACCAGCCATAGGACCTTTACACGTGACAGAGGATATATTTCTTCCTTTGATAACTAACCTAAAACCTTGTAAGATACCGGGCCCCGATGGGTTACACCCACGTTTGCTGTCGTCGCTTGCGGACATTATCTCAAGACCGCTCACGATGCTCTTCAACATGTCCCTTTCACAGGCTCAACTACCTAGAGATTGGAAAGACGCCATAGTTAGTCCTATATTTAAGGATGGTCAGAGATAGATAGTATCTAACTACCGGCCTGTTAGCCTGACCAGTATAGTAGTTAAGTTACTTGAAAAATTAATTCGGGCTAAGCTACTGAGCCACATTGATTCGTACAATCTGTTAACTCCCGAGAAACATGGGTTTCGTAACAAGCATTCATGCTTGACTAACTTACTCATTGCGAGAGAGGATTGGACAGCTGCACTAGACAACGGCCAGTCTGTCGACGTGATATTTATAGATTTTAGCAAAGCGTTTGATAAGGTTTCACACTTAGGTCTTATGCAAAAGCTCTCGAGCTTTGGTATAACAGGTGCTATACAGGAATGGATAGGAAGCTTCTTATGTGACCGCAGACAGAGAGTGAGAGTCAATGGAACTCTATCCGAATGGAAACTGGTCAAAAGTGGTGTACCCCAAGGCACCATCTTGGGCCCTTTACTTTTCCTTCTGTATATTAATGAACTACCTTTATTACTTAAGTCGTCGACGTTATTGTTTGCGGATGATGTTAAAATCTGGAGAACAATAAGAAATGAGACTGATCGTTGTTATCTACAAGCAGATTTAAACGAATTAGTTAGGTGGGCTCATGATTGGGGCCTGGAAGTTAATTCTAGGAAGAGCGTGTCCATGCACATCGGGCACGATATTAGTTACCACTATACCATTAATGGTACATCTCTGCCACGCGTTCATGCGCATAAAGACTTAGGAGTAATTATAAGTCACGACTTAAAAACTACAACGCACTGCAGTGCGGTTGCTTCCAAAGGCTATCGCGCGCTATGGTCGCTTCGCAGAGCATTTAAATGCTTTGACGAGGATATGTTTCGAATTTTATATCCCACCTATGTAAGGCCACACTTAGAATACTGTATCCAAGCAGCTAGCCCTTGTCTGATAAAGGATACTAAATCGCTTGAGCGTGTCCAGCGTGTAGGGACAAAATTAGTAAAGGGTCTTTCCAAACTCCTTTACGATGAGCGTTTAAAACGTCTAAATCTTTTCCCCTTATCTTATCGTAGGACGCGAGGTGACCTTATACTGGCATTTCGTATCTTTAATTATGATCTGGGTGTTAATATGTCTTACCTTTTTGCTCCCTCCAGCACTAATAATCTCCGGGGTCATAGCAAGAAGGTTCTGAAACCGCGATCTAATAAACTAAAGGTGGGGTCCCGTTTTTCTCATCGAGTGGTCAATGACTGGAACGCTTTACCAGAACAAGTGGTATCAGCACCATCAGTGAACATTTTCAAAAAGAAGCTGGACCTTCACTGGAAGGAAATCTGTCAGGATTAACACAGGTTCATCAACCTACTATCCTTATTACTGAAGACTGAAGACTTTAATGCACCTATGGTAGACTGGGAAAATCTGCTAACTGAATCGTCAGGTGATTCCTTCGAGCAGGAACTAGTTGATGCGGTTATCACATGTGCCCTAATGCAACATGTGAAACAAGCGGCTAGGTACAACCAGGGTTCTGAATCATCCTTACTAGACCTTCTATTGACTCCCTATAAGGATGACGTTGCCAGCCTCGATTTCTGCTAATGCAGAAATATATTATTATTATTATTATAAAAGGTATCATGCAGTTTTAGTCTTTGACTCCCACATAACTGTCAATCACGAGCACGCATCAGCTCCATTCAGACCTAGCGTCTGGAAAGCAAACATACAAGGTGTCATGCCCTCAGCATCGTCATTGGATTGGACAATAGACTCAGAGTTTTCAATGGAAACAGCTTGTGATATGTTTCGATGTCTATACTTAAGTTGCACTGTGCCCCACATTCTTCGGACTATATCAAGGGGGCCGAGAAACTCTCCACCATAATTCAGTAGGGTGGTTGGCATCCTTCTCCGTAAGAGAAGAAAAATATGGGATAGATTCAGGTTACTGTGAACTGATGAGAAAAAATCTCAGTACCGAAAAGCTTGGAATACCTGTGGCTCAAACCTTCATATGTCTAGAAAGTTGTATGAGGAGAAAATTATTAAGGAATCCACAGGATGTCCTAAACGCTTGTATTCGTATATAAACCAAAGGACAAAATGAATAGGTAATATTCCTGCACTATATGGAGACAGTACTGCCTCATCATTAGTGGAGGACGACTTCGGTAAGAGTCAAGTATTCTCAAAATACTTCAGCAATGTATATACCATGGAAACACCCTTCCCGCCAGTCCACGTGAATCTTCCCACAGAATAACTGGACAGCGTGACCATTAAAGAAATCGATGTCTTTGATACATTAAATAGGCTGGACATAGGTAATTCCACAGCGCCCGATGAATTACATCCTAGGCCACTAAAGGAATTTTCTAACTTCGTTGCGAACCCTTTAGGTCTATGCTATAATCTATCCGAAACACAGGGTCATTTACCAAAAGACTGGAGGAATGCCATAGTAAGTCCTGTCTTCAGAACAGGTACGGAACATAAACGTGGGAATTATCGGCCTGATCTGCCCTCAGTTTTCTTGTATTCCAAAACAGAAAAGTTATGGGGACACGAAAAGAGTTCACAAGGCCGGGACAAATTACTTGCCAACTGATTAACGACTTTTCCATTGAATCATCAACGAGTGGAATTCATGACCTCAGCACGTGATTGAGGCTCTATCCGTCGACTCCTTCAAAAGAAATTTGGATCAACTGACAAACCATCATTGCCAGGACTAGCACAGGCCACTGGGCCTTTTCTATTTTCCGAAGTGAAACTGAATTCTTGACTTCAGGCTTAACTGGGTTGCTATCCTACAACTAATTGCCGTTACAGCCAAAAGTTCAAAATGGTTGAGAACGGAATAAAATAGTGTTGTCAGACGCTGAATATCTGAAATATCTTCAAGCACGTAACAGCTTATTTACTATGGGAGGTGCTTCACTCCTTAAGTTATGGATTTGCGATACCACTTTACATGGTGGAGTTATGAATGTCAGGGTCGTTGTGCATTCACAAGGTCGCTGTGTCCATAGTTAGGAAGGAAAAATTATATTTGAAACATCCAAAAAGTAGTTTTTCTTTTTTGAAAGTGTCAGCATCCCAGTAAGCGTATGTAGTCATCCTTTATGTTGGTTGTCTGTTACTGGTAATTTGAGAAAATGTTACCAGGACGTAATGTGTTCGTGGTTTCCAGCTAATCTAAAGTATATTGCTGAAAAACCTCAAAGTTTGGTATTGCACTTCAAGTTGACACGCTGACTCCCTGATTACTATCACTACTGAAACATTTCTCCAAACATTTAGGGCGAGAATGATCAGATAATATCATCTCTTTACATTTTAGCTGGTCTGGGAGTATTTTTATGTGTATTTAAAACGTAAATAGTGTATGATAGTGCAGTAAGTTTCGTGTGAATGAGAATTGATATTAGCCAGAAAAAGTTCCGGTAGGATTAAACTATACTGCCGAGCCAATCAGAAGCTTTCGCAGGTTTTCAAGGTCACGGCGCTAAGATCGGTACCTGATGGTTAAGTACGATCGGTTTACAGCGAATTTTAGGGAAGATGTGATAATTCAGCGTCTACAATAGAAGTGATCATAAGATTTTGGCGCGAAATTCAATTATCCATTTGGATAAATAGAGTTTTGGCATTATAGCTGATGTCAGTTCGTGATGAAAACTCTAAATATAATTCCTAGCATTAATCATGAACTGTAAATCATAATTTGTATTCTTCACACAGGTTTGTAACCCTCATTTGGTCTTAGTTATTATGTTGACACTCTCAGAGTCACTCTAGCGTCGCTCAAAGGTTGTCCATAACTTATAGTCTCACCTATAACCCCTAACCCTACACCTAAATCTTAACTCTAACCCTAACCCGTAAACCATACCAATATACTAACATTATTGAAGCTATGTGGTCGGGGCTAAAAGAATTTTTGAGACCTTATCACGGTTTCAGAGGTCGACTACTATGGAGCCATATGGATGTGTTCCTGTACCGTATGCACTAAGATTTTAAAACTTCTGAACCTATATCTGACCTTGAGAAGTTTTTGACCTATGTAAAAGAAGTGTTTCCACTTTAATTCTTTGGTTTTGTATAATATATTTTTACTGTATACTAACTGTCTTCTGATTGGCTAATATTTCTCAAGGTCATTTAAAATTCGTTCAAAGGTCGGCAGTATAGTTTAATGTTACCGAAGTTCCTCGTTTTTATAACGAAGTATACTTCTTGACCGACCACCGAAGGGTCGCAGTAAGTCATCACTTGTGAACCGTGGCTCACTGACGTTTGGTATTCGCAAAGGGTCATAGACTGGCTTGCGGGCTTGAGAAAAACTCTCGAAACAAGCAAAAGTATTTCATTACTTTATGCAACTCATGATGGGCAAGCCTTTGCTTAAAATATTACTCAGATTTTTTAGATATGGTCTAGAGGAGCTGTACCCTTGTAATTCCAGAGACTTTCCTCACGTCATAGATTTCTGAAAACCAAGTTTTCTTACATCACTATACATTCTATTAGGAAGCGATGTAATTATGATTTGGATACTAAAAGGTGATTTTTCCACTTTAAGTACTTCCGTTTTCCTCCGACTAGGTTCATAAATCCGAGGAGCCAATGACTGGTCCGGAAGCCAAGAACGAACAAAATTCTTGTGGTAGGCAGGTTTCCTTACCGAATAATTTGCTCTTAGAACTAACTTCCAGGATAAATTGTCCATGGGCTTTTAATTTACTCACTCAAGAATAAAGACACGAAATCGTACTAGGAGAGGACTGACACAGGCACCCAGTCTTTTGTCCTCAAAGTACAAAGCACAATCGTTGATGCTGTAGTATTGGTTTAGTCTGATGTGTATCTAGAAAATTCACATTCTTTTGACATATGGTATCTTTATTTTTTCATATCTATACTCCATATAACTAGTTCTTTCACTTGCTTTTGTATACTAGTACATCTGATTCCTTCCTGTTTCAGATGTTACTTAACTGAAGTGTAATAAACTTCTTTTTGTTAATGTATAACATCAATGTTTGCAGACTGGTCTAATATCAAATGCGTCTGTTTGGACGTAGACTCCACGGTTTGTGAAGATGAAGGACTAGATGAAATTGCCAGTTACCTTGGAGTTACTGATAGAGTTAAAAAAATGTAGACAATAAATTTCGTCTATATTTCAAAGTTTCTTTAGCACAGAGGAGGCTATGAATGGAGAATTGGACATTAATAAGGCATTAGAAGCCCGCTTATCAATAATGAATTTAAATGTAAAGAAGCTTACTGACTTTTTAGACAACCATCCAGTCAGATTAACACCGGGTGTTGAGTAAGTTCACCCCACTAAATTTTCTAGTTTTACAATTATAGTGTGCTTGCTTCGATTATCATTGTGTAAATGACTTTCTTATTTTTTCCATTCATTTAATAAACCAGTTTTGAAAATCATAATCAATTTTCGTTTTGTCAGATTTTGGAATATATGCCGTTCATTCCTATAAAACTTGACCTTTCTAAAGAAATACTTCCGTTAATGTAAATGTCACTATGGTCAGGTCTCTAATAGACAGTTTATTCCCAAAACCTCATAATGAACGAGTGTTATGAAACTAAGAAGAACTTGAGCCAAGTCGCAGTTACACTATGTGACGCAAATAGAATTTTGGTTGTAAGAGTTGATGGTTTTAAGATAAGAATTACACGTTAATTTAACTAAATAAATTATTGAACTGTGTAATGAAGTAATATACCTTGCGGTATGTTTTCATTCACACAGAGTTAGTAATAATACAAAATACGAATAATTTAACTCATTCACCAGTTAGTTGGATATGAGCCACATTCTAAGTTTAAAGGCTAATGATAACACCCTGTTGCCCATACCGAAATAGGTGGAGCGGAGTTCGAACCTGGGGCTCAGTCACTAAAAAGAATACATATTCACCACTAAACTGCTTCTCCAAGCAGACTGTACAGACACGGCTATGTTCAAAATTTCACGTCCACTAGTTATAAATACTAATTCTGCTGGGTAAATTTGACAGAAATTTGTTAATTTTTTTCAAATGAATCATCTATATTGAATGGCTGGAATCTTTTGGAACATACCGAAATGGAAGTGATTAATCTATACTCTGCTCTACCGAGTCATACTGTAAGGTTACTTTTAATATAGTTTTAGAACAGCACTAAAAAGCGGCCGATAGGTGTTGGTATTCTAACTTATGTGCATAGAGTTGGTCAATGAATGTCCTCGTCTGTTTCATTTTTGTTTAGATCTGTTATGACATCCTTTCAGTCTCTGTTGTAACATTTGATCAGTCAGTTTAGTTTATCACCCGTTCTCCCAAAAATTGCTATGGATAACATTTTGAGTAATACTCAGCGAAAAATGAGGACTTCGAATAAACTTTACTCAGTATCACTGTATGGCATCTTGAATATATTGAAAATGAACTTAGTCCCGTGATCTTTTCATAAAGTTTATAGTGTTTCGCATTCTTTGACATAATTCGCTTCTGTAGAAGTAAATAGTATTTCTTACCTAAACGATGGGTTTTGGGATGGTTCATCTGTTGTTTTTATTCAAAAGTGTAATTTATTTTGTTTAGCCTGCCTCTTAAATTTATCATATCTGACTACCACAAACTGAGTATTTTCGGTGGCTGCGTTTTGTAATATTGGCTGGGGTTGAAATAGTTTAGACGAAAGCTAGGGCTATACCAAAATATGGTATCAGTCATTAACTGTTGAACTACGCACTGTTGTTAGGTATAGATTTCCTCGTTGGAGTTCACTTTATTGGTTCATGCTGTGTGAGACTGACTCAAAACCGGTTTTTTGGCCTTTGTTGCATTCACTCTTTATCGTCACCTAAGTTTTACGCTTCACTATTCTCTCACACTTTTTTTTCTTTAATTCACTTTTGACCAGTAGTATGCTTCACTTTATAATCTTATTATCATCAGCACCATTATTACTTCCAATCCATTGCTACTCATCTTTTTAATTTCATCTTGCTTTGCTGGTGCGGTATGACAACTTGAACTGATTCGCATTTGTGTCAGGGTTTGAGTTGACTATAACTAACGGTTATTGTTCTTCATTCTACACCTGCTTCTTTGAAATTTAATGCAAACTTTTTAAATTCACTGTTATGTACTGCCTAACTGATAATTTCCAGTTACCTAGTCCAACAATAGCTAAAGCAACTATTTTCCATCTTAATAGTGTTAGTAACTCAGTTGACTTGAAAAAAGTTTTCTTTTGAGGTTTAAATTTATCTACTAAACCAACTTGATGAAGTTATGGTATGGCCTAATAATCACATTGGTTTCGATAATTTATTCTTTATGCTTTGGACAGAAATCTTGTTAATCAGTTCAAAGAAAATGGGATTGACGTTTATTTAGTAAGCGGCGGATTATATCCGTTAGTTAATCGCGTAGCCAAATTGTTCAATATTCCTGAAGAAAATGTTTACGCGAACAAGCTGATTTTCAATGACGAAGGTAATGCTGATTGTTGAAGTTTTTTCTCTTTTGCTTTGATACAAAATTGTGCACAAAGTAACCTCTTAATAACTGCAGTTAGAGAAGATTCTCTTGTATGTTAGCCTGTTTGTGAAAACAAACCATCTCCATTCAAAATAACTTTATCATTGAATCTGTATGCATAAATGTAATATTGATTTTCTCAGAAGTATCCAGATGTCAACAATTATTCCATTAACAACCAAATGTTTCTTGTATTCAGCTTTCGGTCTTCAGATATAAGGACCAACGTTAGTTCTGGTGACTTGCAGTACTGTCGAGAGAGGCATCGACCTAGTGATTCCTGGAGCATCGTGGCTTTCACTATGAGGCGTCATAATTTTTCTGAATGACGCTCCTCCGAATCCCAGTTCAGAGTTTAAGTGGTTTAAATTTTTTATCCTGGTTGACGTTTTTCTAGAAAGGTTGTTTCCTACGGGGTGGGGTTGCCGACTACATGCCCAATCCTCTTCCTTTATCCGGGCTTTGGATCGGGAGTAACCCTAGAAGGGTTACAGGCTAAGCTGCAACTTCTACAGAATGTATGTAAGTATAGAAGGGGGAATTTCAATAAATTATAATGTGAATGGAGTAGGATTATTGAAATAATATTTTCGTCCTACGAATTAGACTATAACGTTCAATGGTGATGCTACGCGAAACAAGTGGGAGTAAAAAATGAAGAAAAGCACTAAATAGCTCAAGAAAAGGAGACATTTCTGAATGGAAAGATCTATTAACTGAGGCCTATAATAATAGGTTAAGATTATTAGGATGACGAAGATAGGATTTGTTTTTTATAAATAATTTAGATATAAGCTTTAACTACTCTAAAGAGTTTAAGACAAAAAATATCTTGGTAGATTTGGATTCCATAAACGATCCTGAAATAAGAATATAAGTTATTTAAATAATCAACATTACTCTGATTAGCTCTGCTATTTAGTATAGGACTAAGTCTCAGAGAGAAGCTGGGGTGGTCAGACCAATCTTTAAAATCATAAATTATTAATCTGAGCCTGGTTTATTGAACTTGTCACTCACTTATAGATCAGTACCTTCTACATATTGCATATTTATCAAGCTTCCAAAAGTCATTGTATTCAGGAGCTATGCTAGTTTATTTGAAACGTAAGTAAGCTTACCGTTTCCATTTAAAGAAATATGATACTTCACAAATCTTGGCCATTTAAGATAGGATCAAAGCTTTACTTACTAAGTTTTATGACAAAATTAGGATAAATATTTGTTTGGAATGCGTCTCCAGGTTTTGCTATCAACGTTTGTTTTGTGAAAGAAGCTCTTGAGACCACAAGCTAATTTGCCCAACATTCTCATGATGTTTTCTAAATGTAACCAGTGATCATCTACAACTTTCATTAAGTTGACGGCTACACTTCGTACTTGCTCGGTTCAAAATTTGGTTACAATTGTAGGTAAAACCAATTCCTTTACATCAGTTTATTCAATACAATGAAATGGTTTACCACCGAAGCTCAAGATTACTGAAGCATTATCCAAATTCGTGTAGCTACTCTGAAATAAGCGGCAGCATTGCATTGTATTCAATTCGAGTTTAGGGTTGAGCTGCAGAGATATGAATTCATGCAGTACATTTATTGCGATGCCTGCATAGTTTTCAGTTAAGTACCACAAATACGTTCTTTATCTATCGGTTGAAAAGTTTGCTCTATGTACACTTATTTGGAAACCCGATGTCATTCGTATTGCAGACACTCATAGTACGTACATACTCATGGTACACTAATGCGTGACCAGTACTAGTTGACTGAAACCTCTAATGGTTGTTTACGTAGTGTTAAGCCAGAAGGGATATTTGTAGGCTATCACCATCCAATCATAACTGTCTATGGAGCATCGCTCGTGTATTTTTGTGCAAGTGAGTGGGCAGTGCCAAGATTAGGTATATGGTACTAGGTAGATATGGCAGATTAGTTGATGAGGTAGTGAATATTCATTAGTTGAGGTGATTAGGACATGTGTTACCTAATCACCGACTACTTTGATGCGGGGAGTTGTATGGAGTATGAATATTTCGGAAGAAAACTAACGGGTACCAAATACATACGTGGCACCAGTCTACAAAGTCATTGACACCTGGACTGGTGTAGACCAGCTGGTTGGAATTCGTATAACTAGAGACTGAAGGAAATGAAACAGAATCGGTCGCAATAGCGCAGAAGGATTCACTCTATATCTTTCTGTTTCTAAATCCTGAAATCTTATACTTTTTCGTTTATTTTTTTCTAAGCCTAATCGTTTTCACTACTACTGTTACTTTATTACTTCTACTATTCTAGGATTTGTCTTGATGACTTTATCTCGCTGTGTTATTGTGGTATGTCAACCTAAATTAATCCACGTATGTGCCAGGTTCTGAATCGCGTGTCACTCACTGAAAAATATTTAGAATAACTGTGTGTGGAGGATGTTCAGTAATGAAATGATAATTTGCTTCCTATTGAAGAATTCCTGTTATGAAAATAACTAATAAGTACTAAGTCACTACAAAATGATTTCATTTTTATTATAATTTAACTGTGACCATTTTTCCCAAATATCCGTCATAATGATATCGTCGTTTTGTTACAATTAGCAAGTGTCTGGAGTTATTGTTGTTCCTTAGGAACATATTCGATAACCTAATAGGAAATGTGTTTGTATTATGTAATGTAGGTTGAAAAAAACTTCGAAGAATATTTCAACTGATGTACAACTACTCTCCAGTTGCCTATGGTTTAACTGTTTTTATAATAAACAATTCACATCATCATCACAACGTCATCACTACTCATGACTAAATTGAAAAAGCTGTGATACATTTAACAACAAGACGTGCTTCGTTGATGTTTCTTTGTACAACCTATCATCATGATACATCTAATCATATCAATAGTATATTTAGACCACATTTTGAATAGAGCAGTGCTTTTAGTACTCTGAATACTATATATAAAATAACTCATAATGTCATTAAATAAGAAAAAGAGGATTCAGCTAAGAGAATTTTCTTTTCTTTCTGTTCCCATTGTTTGGTAAACATTTTTTAAAATTTCCCATAGGCACATATGTCGGATTGGATCATAGTGCACCAACTAGTCGTTCTGATGGTAAAGCTTTAATCGTTAATGAATTACTGAATAAATTGCATACTCCAGTTATGATGATAGGTGATGGAATGACAGATGCAAAAGCTTGTCCACCAGCTTCTGTATTTATCGGTTTCGGTGTCAATGTTATTCGTCCTAAAGTTAAAGCTATGTCCAATTATTTCTGTACATCTGTGGAAGAATTAATCAACTTGTTGAAAAACCATAAAATGTTACTATGAAATTATATGTTGTATATATGATTGTACTTTAAACAAACTAATACAAATATTCTTCATTAACCATTCCTAAACACTGTTTATCTAATATGTTTTACTACAGTATTTTATATAAAAATTAATTTAGTATTATTTTTGTGTTTGATAAAATAGTCTCACTATTGGCTAATCTTTTTTACTTTTCAAAACGGCAATAAACAATTATCATTAAAAAGAATAATAAATACAGGAAATTTATAAACTAATTTAACAAGGAAAAACTTCGCACATGGTTCATGTTGATACATTTTATTCATAAAAGAATCAGTAGAAAAAAATAGATCAAAGGAAAAAACCTCCGATACATACTTGCTCCCAAATGCCCTGGTACGGCCCAGAGTGGTGAGAGTCCGCTCTCCCTCTCGAAATGCTCTCACATGGCCACGTGTATATAGCATCTTCCACGGAAGTCCTACCCACTGCCTTCTCGTGGCGGGAGTGTTGTTTACGAAATACAGAGGACGAAAAGCGAATGTCTGGTGCTTTAGCCAGGGCGGTGGACACGGAAGGTCCATCTAGGGGAGTCGGAAAACCCTGACTCCAAACCAATGATGCACATGGGCTCCAGAATCCTGAAGGAACAAATGGAGTATGAACCAATTGTTGGTCACCGGCTACCATTAGACTGCATCTGCATCTCAGAGTTGATGTTCACTCTGGGACTCGAACCCAGTACCCTCGCTTCAAACGCCATCGCGTTATCCACTCGGCCACTGAGTCCTGATAGCCACTTGCTTGTGGCTATCAGGACTCAGTGGCCGAGTGGATAACGCGATGGCGTTTGAAGCGAGGGTACTGGGTTCGAGTCCCAGAGTGAACATCAACTCTGAGATGCAGGTACATCCAGCTGACGAGTCCCAAATAGGACGAAACGCGCGTCCTGGATTCCACTGCTAGCCACTATCCATCTCTGCTTACCATGCTTGTGAATTAAGGTATATCGAGGCAATACGCACAGTATGCACATATGCCAATTAGAGACTGACCAGTTGCAGTCCTAAACACATCGATGGGAAGATCCAAACAAACAATACTAAGTGAATTCTATTTACCTACGTTTGACCTTTTATTTCCAATCTTTACCTATTGACAAGACTATTGTCACCGTAATTTATTATTCTTACTACTATCAGTACACCTGTCTTCCCACTATCAATTTGTACTTTTACCTAATATGTGAGGTGACGTAATCTGTTTCATTGTGATTCTTGACTCAAATAGCCTTTATTGGTTTAACATTTTCGTATCAATATTCATGTATATTAGAGTAAAGCCTGATGACGACCATATCTGTGTGCAAAAATAGAAAAGGTTTAATTTATCTTCTGAAAAAATGACTTTAAAATCCAGTTGCAGCTGGAGATCATTCCAGCCATCTCATTCATCCCAGCATTTTGTCAAATCAGTTAAATAATTATAATATCTGAGCCATTCAGCTGTTTTTTCTACTTTCCTAAGGACCAGATATAGTGCATATTGTATTCAGCGTTTTCGTCCATCTTTCAGTTCATTCAATACGCAAATGGTGTAATTTGCATTAAAGTTTTCACTTCAAGTGTTTGGGCTTATCCATGTCTGTTAGGAATACTTTAAAGTGCACTTCAATCAACAAATGAAAAATACAAATGTTGTGGAAGTTAGGGCACATAGTGAAATCACTAATCCAAACACTAAACAAACTTAAGAAAATCCTAATTTAGTTTAAATGCATTCATCCACTGATTTAGTGTATATAGTTTATTGATAAATTCAGCAGATAGCTCAACAACAATTGGTTGAATAAGAAAAGCTGTTATTCTAATGCACAGAGTAAGAAACACTTGAATGTAAGTTACTTAAAAATTACACATTACAGAATTTTAAAAAATGACTAAGTTATGACCGATACGTCGACCTAAAAATAGCAATCTAACAGAATCTCAATTGTTTATTCAGGTCCAGGAGATTTCAATCTTATAATTGTCAGTGCTTGTTAAATAAGGATGAGATAATCCTAATGAAAGTAAATTTCTTTTGATTCCTTATTAATTCAGAAGGGGTTTTGTGGAGATTTCAGTATTTTCATGGTTGAAATCATGAGTCAATTGAAGCTAGACCACCATGGAAAACCTGGAAGCACCGGACGGCCGTTTCGTCCCATTGTGGGGCTCCTCAGCAGTGTACACCCACGATCCCGCCTCGCGGGATTCGAACCGAAGACCTACCAGTCTCGCGCAAGAGCACTTAACCGATAGACAAATGAGCCGGCATCCAACGGTGTTCATATCTAACTTCAACCAATCCACGAAGTTTTGAGCAACCGTTCACCAATTGTCTTCAGTGATTTACTATCTTTACAACAGACGTGGTTGAACTCCACTGGTCATTGCTTCCTTAATAATTGCTTGTTTTCAAAGTATATTTTACCCTAAGTCGGGTAATTTTGTAAACGATTCAACTCTGTTACAAGACAAGTATTCACAATATATTACTTAAAGGAGCTCAAAATGAAAAATACACTTCAGATGTCCAAATAATGATACAGTTCATTTACATAACAATATATAAAACATATGTCTATCTTTTCAATATCTAGAATATTTGTCTATCATTAACTGTGTAGAAAAAAGACCCCTAAGAATTATTGACTATGTAATCACCATGAATTGTAGACTAACCTTATTCATAAACAAATGCATTTATGTGCCATTATCAATTTTTTTGTACCTTACAAGTTTATATATATTGAATGTTTTTATGAATATATAGCTCATGAAGAGAGATAGTAGGTTGTATACTGAACTAGTGGCTAAATCGAATTTGTATTAATAATAATATTTAATCATAAACGTGTGTGAACTCGGTTAAATACATCATTATCTATTTGTTAATACTTCGACCACTATAGAAGTGTATTGTTAGATCACATAATCAACCATACATAAACAAAATTTGTAATAAAGTTTACTTATCAATTGTTTAAATATGATAGATAAATTCAACCCACACACGAATTATCATTAGTCAATGTAGGATGAATTGGTGATCATATTGAATGCGGATGTGATTACTCATAACTTTAAGCTAATTTTCAAGGTATAATTATAACTAACTAAACTACTTTTTTTTGTTTTATAAATATATAAGGTATATGGAGAAGTTTCTATTTGAATGTAGTTTACACCACGATTTGGTATCATAACTGATAAATTATTGAATATCAGGAAGCAACTGACAGCTGATAATTTGAGATTTCACAGCAATGTACAACTTCATAATTTTACATGGGATAGATTTTCAAGTTTTGTGAAAAGCATGATATATTTCGAGGGACTTTTGAGCTGATGAAAAATGACTTCATATTCAATAATTCACAAGGTTGCCTCTATTTCAAGCGGTAATCATTAGTGATTAGCTTCAAGACAGACTGTAGTAGAGTTTAACTACATTAAAAATAATGAAAGTAGAGGATTTTGAGGAATTTTCTTCACCCTATTCCATAAAATGTTTTCAGTTTATTAGACATTGATTTATGGTTACTAGGTCTGCAATCGGATGAAACAAAGTATGGACCGACTTGTCATCTTTAAAACCATCTAGCCATCACACTTGGAAAAAAATCAGCTACAAACGAAGATGTTTGTTCAGTGTAATAAAAGAAGGGATCATTTGTTAATCACTTGACTCTAGCATAAATCACAATAATAAATTAATGGGAAAGAGATGGATCATTTTGTTAACAGATGTCAATAGATAAACAGAAGCCAGTTTAAATTTGAACTTATTTAATGAACCTCGTAATAGCTTCATTTTATACACTTCGAGAATTTTATTTAACTCCTACATACTGTGAATTTTTGGTTTCTTCTGTTTTTATTACGGATATACCGGAACTTTTCTATTCATTTCAAGCTTTGTATTTCGCCTCCTTTGATGTGTTTGAAATATAGTCCTCCCAGAATGTTTTATTGCTGACCTTCCAGCGTACCGCTGTTAGCCTTTTAACGATTTAACTGGCGGAAGAAAATGTATAAAAATAATTTGTGTCATGAATAATTAGAGTCAGATCGTTCTTAAGTAAATTTCCTATTAAGATCTTGGACATGTAATCATGTTCAAGTATTCTTTTCTTCCATCAATATGGAACTGGGATAAAATCCTTTATAGAAATGTTAAACTGTTGTCCATAAAAACGCATTATCTCTCCGTAGGAAACTATGGATAACTAGAAATCCCAAAGACAAAACTTATTTACTGTGTGATCTCTAGGCTCCTTGTCAGGTAATTTTTAGAAGTTGACTGAAAAGCGAAAAATAATTATCAATGAAGCTGGATGTTAATGATAAATTTTAGTAATTTAGTTAATGACGTTTATATACCGTAGTTCAATAATAATAATTAGTTCAATTGTCAAAGGGTTTTATGAAGATTGGCAGGATTTGCATTTATCTCAGTTTTGGTAGCCATACTAAGGCTTAAACCTAGTACCCATCGTTTTCAATGTCAACATACTCTCCACTAAGTTACTGAGTCTAGATAGCTACTAGTATAAAAGTGACAGGTATTGGGTTCAGAACTCATCACCAATATCAACACTCGGATAAAGAACCACCTACCTGATGAAATGAGCTTCCTGAATTTCACTTCAGACCAGAATCCAAAAATTTATAATTAATTTATAACATCTAGCAATAATCAAAACATCTAATTAAGGAGTTCATATACCGATAGAGATTGACTAAATATATATTATATACATAACTGAATGTTTCGTAAACTGATGTCAGTTTGTAATAAAAGATTACCTGAACAGGAAAGCTAAAGCTATATCCATAACAACGCTCCCCACCTAAAATGTATCATTCAATAGTTATCCAACATTCAATCCTCATCTTGTTTGTTATAATAAGCTTGAATTATTAAGGACTACATACACAAGTATTGATATGATTTTTACCAACCTCCTTTGAAATCAGTTTATTAGTTTACTTTACCAATAAAGCATCTTAACATTCGTACTCCCATCTACTTATGTTATTGATAGTTTATATCTATTCTGACCAGTGCTACTTCACCTAAGATCGATTAAACAGACATGGAACATTCGAGTTCGACGTATTGAAAACCTGATATCAGAGTTATAAGATTTGAAGTCATTATGATAACTGACTAAATAAACTGAACCAAACTTGTTTTCATATATCTTCATTTTGACTACTTTTTTAACCTAAAGTCATTTTTCTCAAAGCACTTCTTATAGTCTTACTGATTGGTCTCGTACAAAACGAAGGCCTGTAAGTAGATATATATATATATAAAATTCAAGAATAAGCTATCATTGTTTGTAAAACTACATGACCTGTTGACAATGATAAGTGTTAAACAACTTTCTCTAAAGTTCCAATCGGTCACTGAAAGCTAGTTAATTAGGTATTTAGAATGAATTTAGTAAACTAAATTAGGGAAGAGTCTACTATTGTAATGATGATTATGAAAACAATTTTATCCTTTTCTTCTTCATAAAATATAACCTTACAGTTTATAATAAGATTGTTAAATTTGACTAATTTATTCTCCTATCAATAATGTTATTTGGTATATTGAATCAAACGAATTTGTTCAGTGATTTGGAGTTTGAAAATGGTCCATTAAATTAATTAATACATCTCTTAATAATCTTTTTCCTTCAATAAATTAATGAATGAAGAGTCCCACAATAGGACGAAACGGCCGTCCAATGCTTCCAGGTTTTCCTTGGTTGTTTAGCTTCAATTGACTCATGCTTTCAACAATGAAAATACTGAAATCTTCACAAAAACCTTTTCTGATAATTAATGAAGAGTTGAAATATATAAAACCACTTAATTTGCTCATTATGTTTTATTCAATTTTGCTGAAATGAAACAACGTATCTAGTTTAAAGTTTTATTTTATCAATTAGAGTATTCTGATCAGAATATAAGGTGTTAAGTGTGTCATTTAAACTTTATTTTATAGTTGACAGGATATATTGATAAATGAACAACATCTTTGTTGAATCTACTTAGGTAGTTTTGGTTCTTTTCAATTAAAATTAAGAAATTGTTCTGCTTATTATTAGTTCGCTTAATACTTTCAGTGTAAACTATCATTATATAACTAAAGATTACAATCTATATTTCCAAAAATAATATCCTGAATTCCAACTGCTAGCCACTATCCATCTTTGCTTGTAATGCTTATGAATTAAGGCAATATCGAGACAATACGCTCAATATGCACATATGCCAATAAGAGACTGACCAGTTGTAGTCCTAAGCAACAATGGGAAGATTCAAACAAACAATACTAAGTGAATGTATAAAATAGTTTTAAAAAATGTACGTTCAAGTGTTTGTAAAATAATATCAACACATGATTTCTTAGAAATGTTATTTTTTAATAAAATTTTCCTATGAATCATTCATTATTACAGTTGAAGACACTAAAAGGGAACACCTAACGTTAGAGTTTGGTCATCTATTGAAATGTTTCATTATAATAACAAGATATTTCTTAAATGGTAACGAATGTCATGCAGTTTCTAGTAGTTCAACAAAATTTGTCAGTCGCAAGATAACTTGCTAGTAATGTTCAAAATCCTATGTTTGAATAACGGATGGGTAACATGTTTTTTTTTAGATAATGTAAAATAACTTTTATAGACGTTTAATCCTGAGTCAGCATATAATAATGATAAGTTTTGAATATTTGGTATCAAAGGTACTCAGTTCAAATATTGAATAATACTTCTTTACTGATCATAGAACATTCTGTGTTTATGAATAACTGGTTCTTAGAAGTATTTCTTTTGACAGTTAGGATAAATTAACTTTATAAGTTTACGGTACTAAGGTGGAGGTAGATTATTTTCCAGTTTATGTTTAAAACGATGAAGAATTAACTTTTATTCAATCAATAGTATTTAACATGAATCTTGTATTAAATATCTTCTATCGATGGGCAGTAGATAATGTGTAATGCATGTTTTTTTCGTGAAATTATTGTTTACTATCAAAAAGATTAGATAGAAATCCTTAAGTCTCTTTTGAAATAAATAAATAGACTATAATCGTTGATAATGAAACTAAGAATAGGATCTAAATGCTAAAATATTTTTGTGTTTATTTCGTCACAAAGATTATTTTTATGATGGACTGGGATAATCTGAACTAGATATCTGTTTCGTTACGGTTAAAAACTCTTAAAAATGTGGATCTCCAATTCACACTGGATCAAAATTAAAACGTTTTTGGCGAACATTGTACCTTTGATTAAGTGAACGGGCATCCAGTAGTTTATATGCCAAGTTTCCGTCACTTCCTGAAGTTTTGTGAAAATCATTTAGTGTGATTTGTGTCAGCTGTCTCACTGTCAACATATCCAAACTCGGCTGGTTGTGACTTTACATTAGAGCTTTTAAGATCCTAATGCTTTATTTTAGTTCTACTAATTATCACATAAACCTATAGTTGTAACAATGTTAAGTGCAGTAACGTTTTTCTGAGCATATAATGTTCAAACATTTATTGATTGTTCATCAAGCTTTGTAATAAACTTTGTGAGAAAATTTAGTCCATATATCGTGTTACAATTCCTAGTTCTTAAATATAAGAAGACACTAATGACTGAGAAAATTAACTGGACAGTTATGTTTACATTTCATTGTATACTTATTCTGTATTTATTCTTTTAAAGCTTTAGATAATGCTTACCTTCATGATCCCGCTCTGAATGATTAAATCAAGTGAAATTCGCATCTAAATTTTTAAATCTTGTTTAATATGAAAATAGGAACTCAGATTCTACATCAAAGTAATCATAATCACTAAGAGTTAATATATAAAGACATACTACTGTTGATTTTGAGTAGTAATTTATTGGGTGTTAAATTGATCAATATAAACGTCATGATTAAAAAATATTATAACTGATTAAAAATGTGTGTTTGGTGTAATATCATTACTTTGCATTCAGTATTTATGAGAACTTTAGAAAGGGAAAGTGTCGTATCGTGAATACCACGTATTACGCGTAGGTTTATGATACGGTTTTCTTGGACGTTGGTGAAAAGAATTGTCTCTTCCAAGCCAAGAATAGATTGGGTGGAAATCATAATCATCTGCAGGCATATAATCATCTTCATCATGGCTATTGGATTCCATGTTATCATTTCCATCAATATCACCGTGTATTGTATATGTGAATACTGTCCCTCCATAGCTACACGGTGATTGGTCATCTGAATCATCCACTATTGGTTCTTCATTATCCTCTTTGTCTGACTCAGTCATCGGTCTTTGTGTTGTCGTTGCCATTGACGAAGTCGTCTTAGTAGGTTGTCGATCGTTAATGGAGCCTTCTTGAAAAATTCGTTTTAGTTCATCATAATCAGAATATTGATCATCCTTAATAATATCAAGAAGTTCGTCTCCACTTTCAGAAGCTTCACTTTTTAAGTGAACTGGCTTAGCATCTAGAGTTACCCAGTTTACACAAACAATAGAGATAGTAATTAGTACATAAATAGATTTGTTCATTTTGCTTATTCAAAATGTTTAATGTTCAAATATAAAACTTTAATTAAATTTCCACTTAACTCGTTATGTTATTGTTATTGCCTATTTATAGTGGTCGGAAGTTACATATAACACTGGATTGAAATCAGTGTTTATTTCAACAAAAGTTCATGTGAATGCGTAGACAAATATATATATATATATATATATATATATATATATATATATATCTTCTCCAGTTATCATATGTCACTCTAAATTATCGTGTCGACTAATGAATCAATAATAAAGTCCATTAACATTTTTCATGGTCAATCGGAACTAAAACGTAATACAAACAAAAATGTATTAGTTTATTAAATTGTAGTTGACTGAATAACTGGAACAAAGCCGAACTTAACAAATTTGTATGGCTATTTTAGCGAGTTGCACAGCCATATCATTAAAATGTAACATGACTTAGAAATGAGGTATTAAAAATACTATAGAGTTGAGGTGATACAGTTATATCGTGAGAACCTGTTTCTCAAATTTTGAAGTATATCAGATGGGGAAAAAAGATAGTTCAGTTCTAAAATTAATTAATATTGTATTAGATGACTGGAGGCAATCAAAGGGAATTTTAGTTTGTTCGACAATGTATCTGTATTAATGTTTTTGATCCTGACACTCAATGACATTACTTTGAATGTTAAGGTTGGCAAACACCAACTGAAATGAAGTTGTAGTCTAGGATTTAATTCCGATTAGACCTATCAATAAACTGAATTACTGTTCAGTAGTTTTCAGCTGATCTGAATCTAATAGGTTACGTTTTTCCATTTCTGTTATAATTGTGTTTTTTGCTATATAAACGACCCAGCTATTCCTATTGCTTAGTATTCTTATACGATGGCACTCGACAAGACCCCAAAATCAAAACACGTTGAACAGGAATGAAATTGTATTCAAAATAATAATGATAAGTGAACAGCAATCAGCAATCCATAGTTTAAATATCGTTCATATATTTATAGTATATGCATAAGAAGCTTATAGATTTTTCTGCAATAATATGCCCGGGCTGATCGGTTTAAAATTAACCAATCAGCGCGCAGCAACACCATCATGCATAAAACATGCTTAATCCAATCTATATCCCACTAACAATTTCTAAGCAAAGATGGATCAGTTACAGTCCGAAGCATTAATGAAAAGATTGAAGATAACCAACACTTATCAACTTTCCATTTCGTTGTGGTGTTCCAGCCATAAGAAGTTGGTAAAACCTCATTCGGTAAAGCCGATTTTCTTATCTGGACTAAAATCTGCCTTCCGAGGCCCACAAAAACTGCGTCGATGGATTTCTAGGGGAAATTGTTGGGACCTCCGTGTCTTGGAGTGCGGGCGTTGGACCAAGGGCAAGCGTAGTCAACATGAATATCGGTAACACACAAGTTTCCACCCATGCATCCTTCGGCGTACACATGGGTATACTTACCCTGTGAGCAAATATACGTTAAATGCACACTGGTAGGAGACAAGTTTTCATTCATGCGTCCCATAGCATATATATAGGTATGTTCACCCACCTGGAAGGGTAGGTGGTTATCGCTCCCTACGAATACATTTGCTACAGTTAACTGTCTCTTACATATTATATGCTTACCATTGGTACGAAGACTTCCGTTCATGCACTTCATGACACATACATTAGCACAAGCATTCCCTCAGGGAAGGCTGATAGTCATCTCTTCCTAATATCTGCTACCATATCTTTGTATTATATTTTAGACCTGATGGTTTTGACTGCTGATTTCATTCGACATAAGGCAGACTTTTTCTCAGCTTATGTTCCTTGTGCGGATTCACACGCGTACCCTCTGGACATGCCTACACAAATAAACTATACAAGCCGAGATTCATGAGATTCATATACATAAGCATACATATAGGGCTGCCCGTCAAGACTGTTGAAGCCCTGAAAAGTGAACTCCACCCAATCCAAGTTCAGCATAAAAGTGACGGATCTTTGCCAACCGCCCGAATTAACTTTCAAGATTGCCTTCACTACTCAGCAGCTCTACGTATAGGCTTTGAGTCGGATTCTTCTGCCGAAATGAAGGCGGAAACCAGGTTATTATCATTACTATTGTCATCATTTCTAAAACTTATAAATTATCCGGAATATTTGCTTTCCATATTTTTGATATGTCTTGTAGATTGAACACTACTTGCTATATTTGGTCGTCGTTGATTGTTATGTCAGAATCGCTTATCAGTTATACTTGTAAAACGAGGAATTCCTGCAGTTCCAACGACGCGAAAGTAAGAACACAAAAACTGATATAAGGGAAGATTTATTAACCCTCAAAACACAATGACAACCCTAGTCAAAAATACACTCACTGATTGTACATCCATTTTTATTAATAATTTGGATAAAATTACATATTTGAAAAACACAGTTATAACAAATCATATGCTGAGTATAGTTCATGTTAACTCAATACATGAATAACGTATGTTATACAGAATAAAATATAATACGGAAAAACAAAACAAATACTACATTGAGTAATCATCATCACCATATCACCTCCCCTTCTTTTTTCTGAAGATTCAAATACTCGAAGCCATGTTCTGCCTATTAACGATTACATTCCACCTCCAGCAATTTACAACGATCAGGAGTTCCTTTTCTTGAAGTGAATTCCCAAAGGAAAATGGAAACAGACTGTTGGATTAGTGATATTCTTCCTTATCAACCTTTTAGTCCAAGCCTCTACTTACTCATACTCATCAATTTTACATTAGAAAGAATATAACTGACAATAGGAAATTCACAATTATAACTGTTTGTTTGATAATTTCATGGGTAGGGACAAACTTTAATGCATTTATAAATAGATTATAGGACTGTTATTAATACAAATGGAATGATTATTTATATGAAGAATGAATTACAACTATCATAGTGTTCGACAGTAATGGGTTTAACTATACAATTGTAACAAACACAATTATAAGTCCTCCAAAGTATATGAACTAAGTATACTCAATTTTTATATGATTTAGTCAACGTCAGATTACCATTTAAATACGCTTTCATTAGTTCCAAAGTTCAATAAAAAATATACATTAAATATTTCTATTCAAAGATTTAAAGTCGAACATTCAGTGACTAAATGTTTCTCACTAGCTAATGAATATAGATTTACATTTAGATAAATGTTTTACAATGAACAGTTATAACCATATCTAACAAGGTAAATAATAGTATTGATAAATTCTAATATGTCCAGGAATATAACCTTAGGTGATTCAGGTTTTGGAACAAGTTCTTAACCTTTAAACCACAGAATCATCATCCAATAATTTACACATTTAACTTGAATGATTCATAATGTAAACCCTTAAATACAGTAATCTTACCCAATCGTTTACACTAAAAAATTGTCTGTCGTATAAGTAGTATTACTTTTGAATCATGAGCGTAACACTGAACAAGTCATTTAGTTGATCATTAGATCTTCAACATATATAAAATGAAATTATTTAATAGAAGTTCTTTAAGGCAAAACACTTTTGTTACATTCTTCAATGCACAATGCAATGTACAATTGTTTTTTATTCCAATTTACAAGAGTTCTCATTGCTATTCACTCGTCAATTTATCTGTTTATTACTTGAAATACATGACAGTTTTATCGAGTTATCTAATCTTCAGTATGACAACAAAAAAGAACGAAAAAAGATACTATAAATTCGAAGAAATTATATTTTTCTTTACATTTACTCATTTGTTTTTACCATAGTTCACTAGTGAGGAGAAGATAAGTAAATAAAAAGGATGCTCCTTTAACAACAGAAACAAGGAGGAAAGAGGAAAGGAAAACGGATAACAGTTATGACATGATCATGGAATTAAAAGAGAATAATAAGTTGAATAGATATACAATGAAGATAGGGGTGGGGCAAGTAGAAAAGAACAAGTGAATGAATGAAAAAGAAAGAAAAACGATAAGAAAGGTCAGATAAACGACAACAAACGGAAGCTGTTCGAATAATTTCGAAAGAAAAGGTCATAAAGTATACGACGAATCATATATATATGTATATATATATGGTATGCAAATAAAATTTACCCTTGTAGAATAGAAACTAACGTTATTTCTTTTTCTTCCTATTTTAGTTATCAAAGAGTGAATTTCGAGAGCTAAACATGAAACGTAAATTGTTTCCACATGAATCTAGACCTTACCACCATTGTAATTTAATCGTATTATGTTGTACTTATAAATAAAGAATAATCTATTTCATAGTTGCCTATAACTATTCATAATAGCTCTCATACTACATAAAAAAATTAGTACAATGTTTATACTGAACTAAGTGGAAGTGAACTATTTACAGTTAACTTACTCAGAATTCAATTATATACAAACAAGGTTTACACTGACAAAGAATATTATTCGATACATAGCTTATAAATATTAAATTACTCCAAAAATGGCATAAAGGCGTAATGTTAGTTACTCTTTCTGCATAGTTCGAATTATTGAATCCAAATAGGGACTAGGAACAAGAATATTCAAACACTGAACATAATTCATGAATAAGAAGGGTTCAAAGGCGATCTGACAAATCCTAGCTCTGAATCATTCATGTGCAATAAATCAAGGACTTAAAAAATGAATAATAGATAAGGTGTTTAAGTCATTATCTTGAGTGTTACTTTGTTGCTACATGGAATAAGCTGTGGAATAAGTTATGGTATCGTGGATAGCCTCTTGAAATCTACCGTTCACCGAGCTTTTGTTCAAACAAATGAATAATGCTAAGTTATTGGAGTTATACAAACTATATACGGAATAAACGAAGAAATGAAAGAGTAAACACTCTAGGAATAGTGTTGTACAATTTCTTTATTAAACAATTAGTTTTTGGTGTTCCTACATTATTTGAATAGTAGATTTTTACTGTAATCATTAACTGTCACAGTATGTTGTGCCGTTTATAAAACAAAGTCAGTTAGCTAATAACCTATTCTTCTTTTTCTCTTAACACTGATCCTACCGCATTGAATGAAGACATGGAGGGGAATTCCAAAATCATATAGTGCCTTTATAAAATATGAGAATCGTACATTGAGTACATCATTTGCACATTTTCCTTGACTTGGCCTTAGCATATTTCATCATTCTTTAA